CCGTGCTGAAACCGCGACTCCGCCTGTAGCGAGCGGTTCAGGTAGTTCACAAATCAATCAATCATCTAACGTTGAAATGAGCACCGGCACTTCTTCAGCTTCAAATATGGATGACTTTACATTTGTTCCACTGGCGTTGTCTGATATAGATGAAGACCAAAGTGTATCATCTTCAGACTCAGAATCCGATTTGGCGCCCAAAAAGGATTTGGATGGCTCTGACTCTGATCAATCCGACGATGATCAATCGGATGAAACTCAAGATTTGTGCCCTTTTTGTGACGATCCACTTCCTGACCAACCTTCAACTAAACTGCTCACTATGAAGACTGAACTTTTGGCATTGCCAAATTGTACCCAAGGAATTGGACGCGCGGATGCTAAGTCTCTTCCGGTAAGTTTTCACACTTCTATGCAACAATTCGATGTGTTTTCCTTCTAATTAAGCATATGTATATTTGTTTGTTTACAGTTTGCTCAAACTGCAGAATTTTGTCAGCTACATATCGCTGAGACTTCTATCATACCTCTTGGAATAAGCAAGGGATGGCCCACAACTATTGCTTTTGATCGATTAGAGGGGTGTGTTGTTTCTTATGTAAGATTTAGTGAAAATAAACTCATAGTCACTATTTTTGATTTTTGTAGTCGTATCAAGGATTGCACAGCGGTTCTTAGCAAATTCGTAAACAAGCTCAAACATTCTACCTACCTTGACGATGCTAAAAAGGATTTGAAGACCAAGGGAAAGGCCATTTTCAGTACCTCTGGACAGTTAGACAACTTCGAGGTTGAGCTACCCGGATAGTAAGTAACAGTTGATCTTGCCCATATCAATAATTTAGATATGTTCAACTAATGTGATTGCAAATGTTCAAGCTACGGGTATCAAGGATACCAGATCATTTATCACACACTAGAGTCCATTTTCCTGAAAGACCCATCTTCGTACAATCATCTCAGCGCGAAAAAGGCCGCACCTTTCCCCGCTGATTTCTACCTACGTCGGGTGCTGATTCCGGAAGTCAGTATTTGCTTGATTGCAAGTGATCGAAACTTAGAACGACATGACCCAAGCGTTAAAGCAATCTTGGAAGCCAGTCGAGCTTTTGGATCAGCTGTGTTCCCGATGGAAGATTCACACTTACACATAACATCCAACAACGTGGTTAAAGAACCGAATATCAAGAAGCAAGTGGGACAAAGCACAGACTCCTCGGTTAATACAAATACATCTCTTTATCTGCAAAAAAGCACTCTAGTTGGACCCAAAGAACAAGTTTTATTGCAGCAACTTCCCAGTTTTATAGTTCCTTACATCAAGTCAATCTTTAGTCCGCCTCCTTTGGGGAATTGTGGCTATGCCGCAATAGCTCATTCGCTCAATCTGGACGGGATTGATGCATACAACATAGTTCGCCAAAAATTACAAGAAGAGCTTCTTTCAAACCAGGAAGCACATGAAAATTTGATTACTACCCCTGGAATGCGCGCGCGCACTTGTCGGTCGAAAAACACATTGGCCTCTGAAATTGTGAAAGATCTCATTCATAGACTTCAACCCCAAGGCCCAACCTGTACTGAGGAATTCTGGATGTGTATGCCTTACTTGGGCTACGTCATCGCCAGTACCTTCGACTGTCCGGTCATTGTTTTTGACCCATTGGAAGCGAATTGCTACTCTTATTTTCCCTACAACACACTACCCAACAACAAAAACCCAATTCTTCTTGCGTTTGTCAACGGTGATCACTTTGTAAGTTTGGGTAGCGGGCCGCGCTCAGTTCCATTCCCGGAAATTTACTGCCCCCTCTCAGAAGGGATCAACGCCTCGCATATACCTCAATGGGTTAGCCATTATCAATCACAGATAGATATGTGGCGGAACCGAGGCAACGTTGGCGCGTTGTAGTTTTTCTTTGCGTTTTATTCACTCACTTGTTTTGTTTCACATCGCTCCTTTTGTGCGTTTTATTCACTCATTTTTTTTGTTTCACTTCGCTCCTTTTGTGCGTTTTCATTGTCTTTTTTGTTCTTGTTCTACTATGCTGTATGCCTCTGTATGCCTTGTCTTTCCTTTGTCTTAGTATGTTAGTATGCTCGCAATCTATGCTTATGTCTCGCGCATTGTTATGAACTTTTGCCTCTCAATCAAAATTTTACATACAATGTCAAGTTACTGATGAACAAAAGTGAGTGATGAAGATGAAAGAAATTTAAACTGAAACAAAAAGTATCAAGCCCAACGCCCACACCCACAAAAAATGAACAAAATCGAAAAAAAAAGTTCGACGTGGAAGCCCTCATCTGTAGCCCCTTTTTTTATATAGGGCGTCAATCTGGTCGACGCCCGGTGTCCGACCCGAATACGGGCTGCGGATCATTATCCGCGGGCTCAAAATAGTGGAATCCATAATATAGGTGATTAGAATTTTCATTTGGGTGATTTGGAGAACAAGTGACAACTTACTTATTTTCTCTTTGCAGGCATGACTTTGACCTCACACTTTGGATCATCATCCGTGTCAGTGTCAGAAATGACCACGGGCATCTTGCGGAGCTTCGCTTCTTCTTCCTTGACGAGGAAGCGGTAGAAGCGACGGGCACTTTCCATCAAGATTAGGCCAGTGCCAAATCGAATGCCCCAACGCTCCATATCGCGCGCGTTGAAAGATTCCGGAAAGAGGAAACGGTAAAAGCTCTGAATGCCATTCTCCTCAAAGGTTTCATTGAGTTGATCAACCTCTATCAATGGAACACCAGCGAAATGGATGAAGTCGTCAATGGTCGAAAAGTTAGCTAATCTTTGGGCTTCGACGAGATCGACGTGGTGATGCATCCCCTGCATCTGAGCATAACCCCAGGTGACAGGTGGCTCGGAGGTGGCAGTCCTGGCTCGCTTGCCTGCAAAGACAGGGGTGGTAATGCTGAGACCCCGCTTGATCGATCGCCACTTGAAGCCTTCAACCTTTTCGGGGGGGTGGTCCAGAGTGACGCCTGCCGTACCCTTGGCCTGCAGGTAAACCAAAAGGTCAATGAGACGATCAAAAAAATGAAAGAAATTCAATCTAAGGAGGAACTGACCAATAATTTGGCCCACTCAATCATGTGCTCGAAGGATAAGTCCATGATCAACAAGGAATTCTCCTTGTTGACCACACGGTATCCCTCGCCGGAGTTGTTCCCATTCATCTCGTGATGACGGATCAAGTCGGTGAGTGCGACCTTGGGCTTGGAGGTCGGATTGGAATGGGCCAGCTCGTCGTGTCCAGTCGCGCGCCCTTCTTTGACAGAGTTAGTCGCTGTCAATACCGCATGGGCCAGGGAACGTTCCTAATGTAATAGCCCACCCGTGTGTCAGTAAAAGCCTGGCCAAGACATGATAAGCACAACTTACCCCAGCGACTTGTTGAGCTGCTTTTCCTGGATGCTCCATTGACAAGATGATTCCCGCATCGTGGCACGGGGTGTCACCGACGGCTTTGAAAAACGCCGTCACTTGATCGTCGCAAGTCACGACACAACCCTTCCCCTTGCCATACGTAGAGTGGCTGAAAACGTATACACCAACGGAGAGTTGTTTGTTCGCATCGGCCGTTTTGAATAAGGCACTCATGCCACCTGCGGTGTTGTTGCGGATTTTGTCGGCGATGGTGAAAAGTTGGGCTTTCAAAGCGTCAAAGGAACCATTCGCAAGATCGAATTGTTGCTTCGTCACGGGGAACTTATGTTGGATCCATTTTGGCTTGTAGTTGGCCTTAACCGGGCCAGTTGAAGCTTCGGGCGTGTACAAAACAAACGTGACCGTGAGATCACCAAACTTAGGGCCAACAACTTCAGCCACACCAGCTAGAAAGGCGAGTCAGCATCATGGTCTCATATGATGACTCCGAGTGACATCACTTACCAGGTACAACCTTGCCGTTGGATGGTGCTGTCAAAGTAGACATGTCAGCGTAACGAAAGGACAAAGGACCAAATAGGGGAGGTTGCTTACCACGGTTTTTTTCTGGAGTTTCATGCCGGAAATCAAACACCACGGAGGAATCTCGCGATCCTATTCCGGATGTGAGATCGTCGGTGTTTGGATCAAGAACATCTTCCAATCGGAGCGGTTGGACCCTACAAAGCAACCCTCCATCAATTAAATTTTGGACACCTAACGACTACATGAAACCAACTGACGTGTCGGAATGAACCGAATTTTGAGACGGATGACCATTGTTAGACTTGGAATTACGAGAAGGAGTTTTAGACATCTTTTCAACTAGATTTAAGGATAAATCAAATTTTGGGGCCAGTGAAAATAACCAAAAGGTGAACTGTTGGATGGAAGGGGGATAGATGAACTGATCGATGGAGGGCGCGTAGACGATCTGATCAATGGAGGACGGAGTTAAATAGCCAGAACCTGGGAGCAGACGACCGATGAGATGGTCCCCGGAATCGAATAGGAGGGCGTGATGGCCACCCAAGGACATCGCCATTTCCATCTGGAAAGGGAAATGTCGTAAAATGCAAATTGTCGAGGTTCTTGAAGGTTAGTGAGGATCTGCAGGTTAGTCCGAGTCGCAGTGGGAAAGGGGTCGTTCGAGGTTGGTTTGTTGACAGGCCGGCCAGTTTGGTTTGGCCACTTGCTGCGCCGCGCACGGACCGGGTTCCGATTTTTTGAATTCTTGGATTTCATTCATTTTGAAATCTACTGTACTTTGAATCGGAGGGAAATAGGAGTATACAGAGGGGGCGTACAGAGGGGGCGGAATGGTGAGAAAGGGGTTAGTGGACGGGTATCTAGGTGGCCGAATGCGTTTGGACAGGTTGATGCATTCGGACGTGGGAAAGGTATTAAAAATAATTAATTCCAATGTGGCTGGCTCTCGACTCTCAAATGAGAGCCGGCTCTCCGCTTCCACAGCGCTTCGAGTCTTCTGGACCCGGAAGCAGGCCAGCCCCGTTGACTCAAGGCCGGGTGGTAGATAGCCTCACGGGCCACTGCGCTAATGAGCCATCCTGTCAAGACTTGCAAGGTTGAAGAACACAACGCCATGGAAGAAAACCTCAATTCACCTCTTCAACAACTCGAAGCTGCACTTTCCAATCCAAAAGAGTCATACGATTTCGTGTCCCGAAATGGAAAAAACCCACAGATTTTACCTTACTTGATACAGATTCTGATCGACCCTTCTTATCAATTCAAGAATGAACTGAGGACTCAAGCAGCGATCATGATCAGAAATGGAATCGACAGTTGGTATCGTAAGATTAGTCCAAACCAATTACAACCTCAAGAGAAAATCGACTTGGGACGAACATTGGTCGATGAGATTCTGGCCAAAGGCGAGAGTGATTCAGTACTTCGAAAACAAATCGCTTTAAGTGTGGGCAAGATTGGAAAATGGAACTTTGACTCTAATTTATCCAACCTTTTCGAAGTTTTGATGCTTCATATTGGAAACGTTTTCACCAATGCGTCTTGGTCGAATGATCCAACAAATTTCTGTATCTTGAACGGATGTTTAGGTGCAGTTTACCAAATCATTCAAAACATGATCACAAACCGGTCCATGCGAGGTCAGCTTCTTCTTCGTGAAGTCAGTGTTTTTACTTCTTTAAATGTTGCAAAAAAAATCATACCATTGACAAAAGTCCTTAACGGTTTAACCAGGTGACACAGAATCATTTTATAGCTATCTACGATGTTTATTCCTCAGTGCTATCTAGTTGGACTACTTCTATCTCTCAGCAAACCACTCTCAACCTATCTGTGCTATTTCATTCTCAAAACTCGATCGAACTTTCGAGAGTTTGTCTTAAAATCTTGGGACAACTCGCCACTTATTCTTGGAGAGAGCCGCATAAGGAAGAGCTTCCTACGGTGCGCCATACGAAAACACATTTCATCACGACTGTATTGAAAACTCATAAGCTTGATGGGTTCGATGAACGCTTGGATCCTTTGTAGAATTTTGTTCGTCAATCTATTGACCAGCTTGCATATATTCTCGCCATACGGAAAAAAACTGTTGAATTGGTATCACTACACAAAATCACCCTATCAAAAAAATCGACCGCCACTTCGATCGAATCTTTTTTCAACCTTCTTAACAAGCATGTATTCAAGTATGGCAAAATCTTTATCAAGATCTTTGATCAAGATTCACAACTTCTCAACATCATGGCCATTCGTGAATGTCTCATGCAAGCGATTTGGAAAATTATAGAAGAGGGGGGTATGAACGCCGATACAATAGATGGTATGTTTCTTCGGATACTTCAATGACCTACTTATTGTCTCCCCTATCGTGTCTGAAAGATTAACTCTGTTGAGGATGTATTCTGATTACTTTATACACCCGAATGTACATGTATAGACGAATCTACGCCAGGGTACCTGGCGGTCTTGCCCGAAAGGCTATTGATCCAATCACTTCAGATTATGACCCAGATAGCGAGCATTGTCTCACCGTCAATTCCAATAAGCGCCACTCCAGCTATGGAGTTGGCTCAAATTGTCCTCACTCGACTTTTACCGCTTCGAAAGCATTCCCTTGAATTTTGGGCCGAGGATCCAGAGAGTTACGATAATGAAGAGATTGCTTTAATGGACAATGTCACTTTTGATATTCGAAGTACCTCAGCTAATCTCTTATCTCGTCTCCTGATGATCTATCCTCAAGAACTCGTGGGGATCATCCTTCGGCTATACGCTGAACTTCAAGCATTGGGTATGTCACAGTTATCAAGGTTTTTGAGATGCGCGGTGCACTGAATCTTACCTCTCCTTGCGATGAGTCTTTTCTAGGTGAGCTCATTATCCACATATTTTCAAGCGCGCTAAGTACAAATGGGAAATGAGAGGGGTCACTAACTTTCTTTCGTCTCCTCCGCTTGATAGATCCTAGTAATTTGAAATCTGTTTTACAAATGGAGGCTATATATTTGGCAATTGGGCTATCCGCAACGAAGCTTTTGTCTCCCGGGTCGACTTGTAGTTCTGTGCAATGGATCAAAGAGCGATTCATCCCTTTGCTTTGCTTGACTGACTCAGAGTACGTAACTTCAAAAACTTTCTACATGTAGATTCGGCTAGCTGATGTTTAATGTTGTTCTGCAGCGGACGAGTGCTTCGCCGAAGAATTGCATGGGTTGTGAGTCTCTCAAGCCTTGTGCGAAGATCGCAATACTCACTTATTGCTACCCACAGCTCGGGCAATTCGCGAAAGAAGAAGTAGATCTTGATACGCAAAGTGGCATATATCTTGGAATCAATTGCCTTTTGGAAAACCCAAATAACGATATTGCTACGAAACTTGCGGCATGTCGCTCTTTAAAACTGACAGCAAATTGGGAGTCACCTTCGCAAGGTGTTCATCCCATTCTGACCTACCTGGGTAATTACATAGGCCAGATATCCACATTGTTTACGTTGGTGGAAAATCTAGACAGTCAAAAAGTCTTGACGGAAACTTTGGGCCTGGTGATTGAAAAAGCAGGATCATCTGTACGTTCTTCTCATCATCTTCTGCAACTCCTTACACGCTGTCCTTCATCTGATCATTGTGCTTCCCTCCTTCTAGATTTGCCCTTATGCAGCTCAGCTTACAAACCAGATGACCGGACTCTGGCAGCAAGTCGGAGAGAGTCCCAGTAGGTCGAACTCGGCTAGTCATCTACATAATGCGATCTTAGTAACGATGGCAACACTTGTCGAGGCAAGTGCTTCATCTATAATTGCAATCCCATGGTCTTACGTTATCTTCCTGATTGGTCTCTATAGGCGTTGGAGAGCGATTCGCACAGTCATCATGACATGATTTGTGTCCTCGTTGAATATTCCATCAATCCCGACAATCAGGCCTCGGTGTACCTTCAAGAAGATGGCATGATTCTATGGTTGACTACCCTACGTCAAGCCACGTCGCTTACTCCTCAACTATCCAACTTGTTGCCCAGACTGATCGGGTTAGCAAGGGATGCGAACGATTCACTGGCTATTGTACTGAAGATTTTGCAGTCATACATCTTCCTGGAGGCTCCGCTTTTAGTCGATACATGTGGTTCGGCTTTAGCAGTGACGCTGTCTGAGCTTCTTCAGATGTCAGCCGGATTATCACCGATCAAGGAAATTTTGAACGTGATAACCTACCTGATACAATGCTATCCTATCGCTCAGTGGAAACCTTGGCTAGAAGGGTCAGGATGTTTTGAGATATTGCTTCAGGCCTGCATGAAGGAAGATGTAAGCATAGCCCTCTTACACAATCCAGAGCAATATATGCTGAACAATTTTGCTGATCTCATATCTAACATTCGTTTCCCAGCAACTCTCATCTTTGACTGTCAAGTACATATTGGTGACCTGTCGAATAATCATCACGAATGTCCAAGCATTTTATGATGGACTCGCACATTCAGCTAGTCAGCTTCAAGGTGTTACCCCATCAGCTTTATTGCAGAGCTTTTGTCAAGCCTGTCTCGAAAAAGTAGGTTGTACCCCATAGATAAAGACGTGTACCGCGACGTAAATAAGATCATCGATACTGATTACTTCCATTGACTTCACTTACTAGATAGATCACATTGGAGAAGCTCAAGATCGAAAACTATTGGCTTCAGCTTTAGCCTACCTCGCTTCTACTCCCAACCCGGTCTTGTTATCAAATCTAGAATCATTTGTGTCGACTTGGTCAGGAGTTTTAGCCGAAGGAGACGAAATATTTGAAGAGCAGTGAGTTGATGATGATCTGTTCCACCATGACAAGTCATTGTATCTTACCAACAAACTCTTCGTCTGTAGCACTCGAACCTACCATTATACTTATGAACAAATAGAACCGGATGAATTTGAGTATATCAAATCTGCACAGGAAGGAACTCGTTTATTAAAAGTATGTGTCAATTAAATTTACTCTTTGTCACTACACAGTGAAACTCACCATGTTCTTGCTTTCCTATTGACATTTCCAATGATTTGATGATAATAGTTACGAGCCAATGACCCGGTAAAGTCTCAAACTTTAGTTCAAATCATCTCCCAACAACTCAATCAAGGTGGAGAAGAGTTAGCTACAGCTTTGAATCAAGTAGATGTTATACTACTAGATGATTTACGTCAAAGACTTTCAGGTACTTTGAAGGGTTAATCAGAAAATCTGTCTTTTTAGTCCTCATCATCCATTTTTTGTTTCTCAACTTATACATACAGATATTACAAATCCTTTGAATTTCATGACTATGGACGGGTTTAATACAATTGATTTTTGAGCATCCAAGCTATCATCTGATTTGCCACGCCTGCTAGAGAATGTTCAAATGTGTGATGTCACATTTGGGAATTATTCATTATAAGCTCTCGTTGGGTTTCCTAATCGGCTTCTAGTCAAATTGATGGATCTCTTCCCCACTGAAATGAAAGACCCGGAAAATTTGAAATGATCTGTTCTCACCTTGAGCAAGACTCTTTGAAAGCTCAAGTAAAAGCACTATGCCCTTGAAACACAAAGGAGATTTGATTTTTATGAAATAAAGAAAAACGAAAAATGCTAGGTAAGAAAGAAAGATAACTGGACAAGATATTTCAGTGTTAATGTAAATCTTCTTATGTACTGAAACTAAGAATGTTTAAAAGAGTTAAAAGTAAACAATGAATCCACGAAAAAAGAAGCCACATTTAAACAAAAAAACAGCCTGATGGTCGAAAAAAAGGAAGAGAAATCTAAATGTCACATTGCAAGTTAGTATTACAACAAAAAAGAAGGTTCTTTCCAGTGGAGTTATCATTTATATGCTAGAAAAGATGAGAGTCATCCTAGTTGGACGCACTGAAACAGACCGAGGTATGTTAAGAAGAGTTCTTGCTAATCGGTAAAATTGACTATCATGATTAGGTCCAAAGTTGATCGAAAGACTTACAGAACTTATTGATAATGTTATTACAAATTCATGAATCCCATGGTCCGGCACCCATTGCAGCCAACATTGGATCTAGTTGAGCTAATTCTTCACGTATCGCTGCGCGAGCGATTGTGTCAATCTCTTTTGTGACCACCACCACGAGTTTCTATTAATCAGATCATGGTCATCATCAATAAACCATCACGTCCTAGTTACTCGAGGGACCACAAAGAGGTTTTCGGATGAGTTTATGGATTGCTCGTACCTTTAATTTTCCATCAACTTTATTGATCATGTCGATAGATTGTTGGCTAAGATTACCCTGTAATGTAGTCTGAGACGCTAAGCCACCACCCCCCGAAGCTGCCATAGGCCTATTGGTAGGAATTGAAGTACCAGCACTATTGAAAGTCGGAGCGTTTAACGTTTGAGGACTGGTAGCAGATGCGTTACTAATAAAAGCAACAATCTTTTGATAGATTTCTACGATTATGTCACAAAGAGTGATCCAGACTTCAAAGTAATCCAAGTCGAATGGCTGATATTCAAAGTCGAGGTGATCAGCTTTCGACTTCAAATTGCTCGAGATGTATTTGACAAGTGGAGGAATTGGGACTTACTATATTGGGTGCGAAGAGATACGAGGATTCCCCAGACTCTTGTAGAGTGATTGGGTAATCGGGTGCAGAGGTTGACTTTCGAGGAGTTTTGGATTGTCTGAACATACCTTTCTATAAAATGGATCGACCGAGAAACGCGTGGAAGTAAGAAGCGAACGAAAGGGGTCAGTACCAAAATCGCAATGAGACAGGCCGAGAGAGAAGACATCAAATCTAGTGATGGATTGGAACGCTGAGCGTACCATCTTGGGCTTGAAATTATCGTCTGGTATCGTTTCGTACTCGAGTAAGAGGTTGATCAAACCCTTGAGAAAGTCATGAAAAGTCATGATATCGAGTAAAGATGATAAAGACATTCCAAGTACTGCAAATCTCGTGGTCCTGTTTTCCCAAATCAAAGAGAGTCAGTGACACTTCAACTTATGCCCTTCATGTGCTGCTTCACTTCTTTCCAATGAAGAGGCCGAGATTGAGATCTAAAGGAGTGAAGAAAGAAGATGACTGACCGACGCTGCATCCGCTGCTGATCAAACGATTTCTCCAACTCGGCTCTGGTCAGTAAGATCGTGTTAAACCAATGAACTTTGCCTTCATGAACTTTTTTCAGGTAAATAAAAGTAGTGATTCGTTTTTGAGCCATGATTTTCAGTGTATCAATGGTATTAGCACCAGTCGAGGGTGCAGGCGATGAAGATGAACCATCCGAAATAGATTGATTCGGATTAGAAGAGAGATTAAGTGGATTTGTTTCATCTTCCCAAGGACATGGATCGTCTTCTAAAATCGAAATCCTTGCAGCCGATGTCACGTTAGGATTAGGTGAAGTTGGATCATGAGATTGATTGAGGATGATGGATTTGGTATTGATGGATGCTGAAGTACTACTTGATAAACCATTGAGTAGTAAAGCTGATGACTTTTGACGTAAACCACTTCTACTTGAAAGGGACATATTGGTTTGAGTTGATAAAGTTGAGGATGAAGTTGAGAAGGTTATGAAACTATCGATTGGTCAAAACTATCTTTATATGCGTGTTTTGGACCAAAAAGCTGTATGTATGCTACAAAAGAAAATGTCAAATGGCAACAAACTCACTCTTCAAACACCAGTGTGCCTCTTCACAGACTCGCATGACTGTATCTACAACATCAAAAAAACTTCCACTGATCTGATCGAGGTTGTCAGAAAGCTTCCGATGCACATCATCCTGCACATGATCCTTGAACGACGTAAGAGCATCAAATCATATTTCATGCCAAGAAATAAGAGAAATAAGAGAAATAAGGGTAATGATATGTATGGTTTACTATCATTGCTTTTGGAAGCCAGAAACTTTCATGATTGAAGCACAACATGGCAGTGGTAGGAAGCTGAGGATTAGCCATTCAGCAAATCTATGCAGCTTTTGCATACTTACGACTGTAATGTTCCTTATCCCATGTTGTGCAGGACTGAGTGGCCAGTTCCAAAGTTAGAGCTCAAGTCGAGATAAGATGTAGGAGAAGATGGAAAGCACGAACAACATGCATGATGAACAGATATGCAGGTTTTCTATTTTTTACTTTCAAACTACACGAATGGAGACAGAACATTACCTGACAGCCAAATGCTTTCTTGACTCACAGAAATTCTTCAATTCACAAAAACACATCATGGTTATGGTAAAATTCTTACGTACATGAATTGATGTGGCAGTCAAGATGCAGACAATCAAAGTCCCTACAAGAATCTTGAAGCTTCCAGGTCATAGTTAAGGCTTTCTCTGCTCTCCTTACACACCCAACATTCAAGGGAACACTTTGAATGACAATATATGAGATGAATTGGATTCTTTTCATAGATAAAGAAATCTGTAGTGATCTTTGATCTGGTTCTTGTTTTAGGTGCCTTCATTTGTATGACTGTCTTGGGGCCATATAGCTGCTGATGACTGATACAGATATCATGGCGTTCAACGCACTGGAATTTCCTACTTTCTAGAACCTTTGTTAGGTCAACCAAATCTTCTGATTTGATCTCATGAGCTGAATCACTTGATGGCCGAGGAGAATTTTCTGAACAAGGTAGAAAGGAACAAGATCTTCTTACCTCTTGATTATTGAGCAATGTAAGTGTTGTGACTATTGGGTTAAGCTGCAGAGCTATTGGCTGATTATAGTACATGGATCTGTTTAGTGATACTTTGATTTACCCCCAAACAAAATATAACAGCAACATGAGTATGCTCAGTCTCTACTCTTCTTCATTTCAGTTTTGCTCACAGAAAACAATGTTGAAGCATAGGAAGAACAACAGCCTTGAATTTTCTGGAGCCCAATTGGCAACACTCAAGCGTGCAATGGCTGAGATACAACCTGCAAGGTAAGAAGCTCTCAAGCTTTTCACACGAGCTCTCATCTTGACCATTGGCTCATATCATTTACAGATTATTGAGAAGATCATGGAGAAAAAAAACTCTTTCTTTTAATCCCTTTTCACAGCGGGTGAGCATAACCAGCGTGGTGGGACATCATGACTAAACTTCTTTGCAATCATTGGTGCAAAGACTGTGTAAATGGGTTGGACCTATGGGAGTAAGTGACGAGGGATGTCCAATGTTGAAAAAGGATGGGCTACGGTGACCACTCGCTGCCCCGAATATTCGGCCGATACGATGATTCATCCATCAGTCGACATCAGGTGCGAGGGAATTGGTCTCCGTGTTATAACTTATCAGTCAAAAGTCCTTTAGTCTTACATGACATCTTCACACCAAAGGCACGACGTGTGGAAATTTTCCATCGAAGCCGGTTGAGTGTGACAGAAGAGTAGTAGCCCCATGTCACTCACGTGACATGGAGCAGAACCCGCTAGGAAGAAGTGGTAAACTTGGGCGGAAAATCCTAACCCGCAGATTACCACTTCCTAGCTCTTAGACGAACACCTCAAGATACGATTCCTAGCCGTCGCACATTATCATTTCATTCTCATTTCTCCTTTTTCTTGAAATCATAAAACGCAAGCAGTTCAAAAGTAGAAGATATAAAGCAACAAGAAAATCCAGACATAAATAAATAAATAGAAAAAAAAAGAAGAAATGGATAGCGAAAGTTTTCAAGATCAAATTGATAAAAAGTTAAGAAATGAGAATACAAGTGAAGAACAAGCAGATGAGAATCAGACTCAGACGCAAACGGAACAAGGGAATCAAACCCAGACTCAAGATCCAATTCAAAATCAAGATGGGAATCAAGATCAACAAGGAGCAAGCGGCGATAGTAGAGGAGAAAAAGTAGGTGAAGAAGAGCAAGCACCACTGCCGAAGAAAGGTAAAGGAAAAGGCAAAGCAAAGAGTGTAGGCCCGATTCGCATCAAACCGTTAACTCGACAACAAGAACAACTCAAGCTGGCAGAAGAAAAGGAGGCAGGAATGCAATCTAGGTTGGTGGAAGAGAGAGAAGCGAAGGAGCAAGCAGAAAGAAGAGTTCGTCAATTAGAGGCAATGTTGAAGGTGAGGGAAAACGAAGATGCTAGGAAAGAAGAAGTGTTGGAAGGCAAAGATGAAGAGGAGGAAGATGAGGAGAATGAAGGTATATGGGAAGGAGAGCAAGGAAACAAGGTGCAAGAGAACCCGAGGAACGATAGGGTGATCGGGGGAGTGGTCATAGAGGAAAACCTGGTGACACCAAATGGTAAGCGAGAAGAACTCACTCAAGGGGTAACCCCCTGTCCACTCTATCCATATACGTTTCACATCATCCATCAGGGACTTCGCCCCGTGTCACAATTCTTCCACATATGGAAATGCCTCTAAAAAGAGATGAATGAAACATTAGGGAGCAAGGGGACAGAAAGGAAAAAATCAGAAATTTGTTTTCTCCGAAAGGAATGCCTCATAAGAGATGAAAGAATGAGTACTGACATGTGTTGGGGATTGGACCAGAAATTGTAGAACCAGTCGTAACGACAGCTACCGACGGAATACTCATGCGGATGGATAAAGAGATCGAAGCCGCTTTTATGAATAGAGATCGGGAAAAGTATGATGCGTTGGTGCAGGATAGGCGTGAGTGGCTAGAGTTTAAAGGGAAGAAGGAAACCGGGAAGGCGGTAGTTAGTAGTGCGGCCGATACAAAGTCCAAGAAGGTCCAAATAGATTCCGGAAACCCTCTAACTCATATCCTCATCCCACTTTCCACTTACTGGGCGTCTGTCATGTCAAGCGTGAGCCGCTATATTCCCCTGTCCATCTTCGACCCCGTTTGGTTACGCCAAGATATGAGTATGGTATCAACAAAAACCTCAAGAGCGAAGACCAAAGACGCCGACGCACACACTTACAACAACTCTCCGATCCCCAGCGAATGGCGCACGACAGTAGCGCAATGGCATAGACAGAAGGATCTGTTCTTAGCTTATCCTGGCGTTTTACGAACAGATGAC